CCACACCCACACCCACACCCACACCCACACCCACACCCACACCCACACCCACACCCACACCCACACCCACACCCACATACACACACACACGCTCACACACCTGGCAGGGCTCGCAGGCGTCCAGCCGCGGGCGCGTCGCCACCTCGCCCTCCAGGCAGCCGCGCAGCGCCGCGCTCATGGCCGGCGCCGCCAGGCCCCGCAGCTCAATGGCCTCCACTGCCAGGCGGTAGGACCCAGGCGGGCCCCGCAGCTTGGCGTGCTGGAACAGAGCCCAGCCGGTGGCGTTGGTCACCGCCGTCGCGCCCGTCAGCAGCACCGCCTGTGCGCCGGGCGGCGTCGCCGCCACCTTGACAACCAGACCCACACCCCCCACGCCGCCGCCGGCCTTGTCTGAGCAGAAGGCCGCAAACGGCGGCAACAGCCCCTGATCCAGCGCGGCGCGCGACACACTGACCGCGACGCCAGTGAGGGGTCCGCCGTCGGGGCCGGCCAGCAGCAAGCTCACGGGCGGGATGGACACGTCAGCGCCCGCCACGCGCGCAGTGTTGTTTGCCACGACGGGCGCCACGAGGGTGCGCAGGTCGACGGGTGCGTGCGCGGCCGCGATGAAGACTCCGCCGCCGAGCGCGGCCGCGGTATTGTTTTGGATGCGCGTTCTGGGCGCGACTTTCAAGTAAGCGAAGCGGGTGCAGCCATTTGGGTCTTGAGGGGACACCGTGCAAGTGAGGGTGTAGTGTATGCCGCCGCCTTCGTCTGCAACAGTGATTTGGGCAATGGACGTGTCACGCAACTGGGCAGTGATGAAGCACAAGCACAGCCGTGCCGGCGCAGAACAGATGTGTTGCCCCGTGCGGATAGCTCCTGCTACAATTTCAACCGGCTCATCCTGAGGACCAGCTGACGGGCGGGTGTTGCGGGCAACCGCTCGGGCCGCTCCCCGCTCTTGTGATGTTTTTCACATGATCCTCAGCTTCATTGCTACTCAAGTGCCTGGTTGGTGGATCAGACATCCTTGAGGTCCCTGCCTTCTGAGCCAACAGCCACGAGCCTTCCACTTGCCGGGACCCAACCCCTTCTCCCCATGCTCGCGCCCGCTCACCTGCAAAATTGCCGTCAAACACGCTGTCGGCTATGGTCACGTTGCCGCTGACCAGCCGCAGGCCGCCCCCCAATTGGGCCGTGTTGCCCGTCACAGCGGTCCCGTCGACGTCGAGCGCCGCCGTCCAGCGCCAATTCGGGCCGCCATTGTAGGGTTCAATGTCAAGGGCGATGCCGCCTCCCTCCAGGGCCCTGCATGCGGCAGCACGGCGGGCGGCGGTGATGCAGGTGAACGTACAGAAACGGCATCAGGCCTGATGGGCTCGCACGGCGCACAATGCACAGGCTTGCGCCAGGTCATGTCAGCATAATGGTGGGTACCACGCAAATAAGTGGTCGCAGCTGAGCGCGCGTGTGCACCCAAAGCAGCGTCGCCGCGCGCCTGTTGCCTGCGACCACGCTGCGTACGACGGCAGTTGTACCCTCGCCTTCCAGCACCAGCCCGCCGCCGCTGCCCCCGGCGTGGTTGTGCGCTATGACGCACGCCTCGACCAGCTGGTGCGACGCCGCGGCGTACACGCCGCCTCCCTTGACGGCAGCTGAGCAGTTGGTGATTGTTGTGTTCTTGACTACGAGCTGGGCAGAAAGGCTCACGTACAAGCCACCACCCCTCCTTGCATTGTTCCAGGAGAAAGTTGAGTTCTCAATGATAATTGTCCCCACAGTGTTGTCGCCGGCGCACAAGTACAAGCCGCCGCCTTCCAATTGGGCCGTATTGTTGGTGAAAGTGCACCCGTCCACACGCGCGAGCAGCGCGTCCGTGGCCGTGCCAGGGGAGCGGAGGCTTGAGCCTGCGCTCTCCGTCCAGCCGCCGCCGCCAATGCGCGACGCTGCGTTGCCCTCAATGCGCGAGCCCAGGAGCTCGAACGCCGCGGTGCCCGATGCGTAGAGGCCCCCGCCGTCGCGCGCTTTGTTGAAGCGCACCGTGCTGTTGCGCAGGCTCAGCCAGGCGCCGTCGGCCAGGCAT